ATTTTTTTAGTAGAGACGGGGTTTCACCGTGTTAGCCAGGATGGTCTCGATCTCCTGACCTCGTGATCCGCCCGTCTCAGCCTCCCAAAGTGCCGGGATTACAGGCTTGAGCCACCGCGCCGGGCAAGACTCCGTCTTAAAAAAAAAAAAAAAAGGGGGGGGGAATAATAATTAGCCAGGGCCTGGGAGGAAGTGCGTCAGTGAGGGCAAAAGGTTGGCTTGTGCAAGGCCCTGGGCATTGGGTTGTGTGGGCGGGGCTTCCGGGAGGCCTGGAATCCAGGATCTGATGGGATTTCAGGAGCAGTTTTGGGACCCTACTGGCTGGACAGTGGATCGAGTGGGTGAACTGTGCAGGAGGGCTGGAGATCAGGGGCAGAGCAGGGGATATACCCAGAGGTGGAGCTTGGGGAGATGGAATAGCAGACAGAGCTGTGTGTGTGGGCCAGGCTGTGTGGGAGAGGTAGGGTTCCCTGGCAGGTGTGTGGCTGGGGCTCTGGGGCAGGGCTCTGGGAGGACTGTTAGCTGGGCTCTGAAGCCGGAGGTGGACATATGCAGTGGTGGACACGGTCGGAACAAGGCAAGACTAAGCGGGTGGAGGTGGGGAACAGTGGCTGACATCTGTAACCCCAGCACTTTGGGAGGCCGAGGTGAAAGGATTGCTTGAGCCCAGGAGTTGGAGACCTGCCAGGGCAACACAGCTAGACCTTGTCTGTACAAAAAATAAAAAGTTAGCTGAGTGTATTGAGTGTGGTGGTGCACGCCTGTCCTCCCAGCTATTGATAAGGCTGAGGTGGGAAGATCTCTTGAGCCCAAGGAGCTGCAGTGAGCTGTGATTGCACCATTGTACTCCAGCCTGGGTGACAGAGTGACTCTGTCTCAAAAACAAACAAAAAATTAAGCAGAGCTGGGTGCAATGGCTCACGCCTGTAATCCCAGCACTTTGGGAGACTGAGGCGAGTGGATCACTTGAGGCCAGGAGTTCAAGACCAGCCTGGCCAATTTGGTGAAACCCTGTCTCTACTAAACATACAAAAATTAGCTGGATGGGCCGGGCGCGGTGGCTCAAGCCTGTAATCCCAGCACTTTGGGAGGCCGAGACGGGCGGATCACGAGGTCAGGAGATCGAGACCATCCTGGCCGACATGGTGAAACCCCGTCTCTACTAAAAAATACAGAAAACTAGTCGGGCGAGGTGGCGGGCGCCTGTAGTCCCAGCTACTCGGGAGGCTGAGGCAGGAGAATGGCGTGAACCCGGGAGGCGGAGCTTGCAGTGAGCTGAGATCCGGCCACTGCACTCCAGCCTGGGCGGCAGAGCGAGACTCTGTCTCAAAAAAAAAAAAAAAAAAAAAAATTAGCTGGATGTAGTGCTGTGCACCTGTAATCCCAGCTACTTGGGAGGCTGAGGCAGGAGAACCCCTTGAACTGGGGAGGCAGAGGTTGCAGTGAGCCGACCCAGATCACACCACTGCACTCCAGCCTGGGTGACAGAGCCAGACTCCATCTCCAAAAAACAAAACCAAAACAAAAACAACTAAGCAGGTGGGATGTGGGTTGGGATTCGGGCAGGCTGCGTGGACCTCGTGGGCCATGTGGGTGGGATCGGCCTCCGTGTGGGTTTGTGGGTTTGGCTGTGGACTCCTGGTGTCAGCAGGAGGCTATCTCAGACCTGGGAGGCGGGGCTGGAGGCGGGGCAGTGGCTCCCTGCTCTAGGGGGAGGCTGGAACACATGGGCACCTCCACGCTGCTGTGTGGGTGGGCCTCACCTTGAACTTTCGGGTACTTCATGAGTGCCAGGAAGGCGTGGCGCAGCGTGGTGCCCACCGTCTCGGTGCCGCCAAAGAGCAGGTTATGTGTGGTCATCAGCAGGGTATCCATGTGGAAGTGGCTCAGTGGGTCCTCCTGCCCTGGTGGAGGGGTGGGGACGTGAGCCAGGGATGGAGACCCCTTCCCTCTAGACCAGTACGACTGCTGCTGGGGGCCCATTCAGTCCCAGCTGGGTTTAACTTTCTTTCCCTAGGAGAGCTGGGGAACGCAGAAGGGCAGGGCTGGGAAAATCTCAGCTGCAGGGCCTACAATTAACTTCTTGGATAGAGCTTGAATGACTTCTTGTGTGTTTGTTTTTTTTGTTTTTAAATATGTTTTATGTATGTATGTATGTATTGCAGAGACTGTCTTACTATATTGTCCAGGCTGGTCTCGAACTCCTGGACTCATGCGATCCTCCTGCCTCGGCCGCTGGGATTACAAGCGTGAGCAACTGCGCCCCCCCCGCGCCCTCCCCCGCCCCGCCCCGCCCCGCCCCGCCGCCTTCGATGACTTCTTAATGAGCTGTAATTGGAGGTGGCTGTGAGTGGCTCCTGGCTCCAGCCCAGCTGGGCCAGATGCTTCAGCTTCTCCAGGGAGAAGGTCCCCCAACCCTGCCCCATCTGGGGTCCCTGTGGGTTTGAGGCCGGGGCAGCAGGAGAATTTCAGGTCAGACTAGAGGTGGGATTTCCAGGTAGGGATTACCTCTGCCATCTTGGTGAGGAAGCAGTCGATGAAGTCCCGGGGAGATCTGGGGTCTAGAGAGGCCTGGTGGTCGTGGACGCTGTGGGCGATGAGGTCTCTCAGGCGCTTGAAGTTCTGGAAGATGCGTTGGTGCGGCCCGGGCACCCAGTCCAGGAGGCTCGGGAAGATGTTGTACAACTGGGGACCAGAGTGGGAGGGTTTTGGAGGAGGACGAAGTGTGTTCAGGCGAGAACGGGGTCTGTGTGGATGAGGTAGGCAGGGACTGGATCTCCAAAGGTAGCCAGGTTCTGGAGAGGCCGGGGTTGGGGTTGGGGTTGGGGCTGAGGGGGAGTGGGAAGGACGGCATGGCGGCCATAAATGCTCAGCGGAGGGGAGTGGGCGTGGCCGTGTAACTCTGGGTGGGGTCAGATGGGAGGGGCGGGCCCTGGGAGGGCCATGAGCAGCCCTTTCCCCGCCCACTGTTTCCTCTCCATTCCTAGGTCCTGAGGACCCCACACCCCGTCCCTGCTGGACTCGGTTGGCTGACCTCACCCCAGGGGCTGCTCATGATTTGGAAGTTGTCATTGATAAGGCGGATAATGGTGAGCAGACGCTCATCATCGTAGTGGAAGCAGCTGCCGAAGAGCACGGAACAGATAATGTTGGACACTGAGCGACTCAGCACAAACGTGGGGTCAAAGGGCTCGCCTGAGGGTGGGGAATGGAATGGATCAGGAAGACGCGATGTGCAGCACACCAGACCTCATGCAGCAACACCATTAATCTGCACAACATCCGACTCAAGCATGGCAACGTGTCTTGCGGTGCAGAGCACAGGCACATGGTCACAACATGCTGCTTAACAACACCCCAAAAGCATCTGTCAGTGCCTCAGACAGCACAGAACCCACAACTTCCTGCAGCACATCCACAGCAACAATACCCAACCACAGAACCGGCTATTCTTGGCAACACAACACACAGCACGCAACATAGCACAAGGCAATCATCAGGCATCACGGAACACAACAACACAGGGCAACAGAACACCCAGCAAATAGGATCACAGTAGATGCTAACACTGGACACTCGGTGATCTAACAACCAGCCCGGAAACATCCCAAGACACGGTAACCACACACCAACACATAATGCCAGCATACAGCTCCATAATCCTGCCACACAACACACACTAGTACACAGCAACCCAGCAGACAGCACCGAACGCACGATGTGGCATCACAACACGTACAATCAAGGCAGCAGAACAAAGGACACACTATGCAGCAACGCAACAACGTTGGCAGCCAGCAGATGACACAACACAAAACCACATGCAGCGCCTGACAACTCTAGGATCCCACGCAGAAATAACACAACACCTAGCATCTGGCCGTCCAACAGCTGAACAGACCATAGTAAATACCGAACAGCACATTTCTTTCTTTCTTTTTTTTTTGAGACGAAATCTCGCTGCATCACCCATGCTGGAGTGCAGTGGCACGATCTCGGTTCACTGCAACCTCTGCCTCCTGGGTTCAAGCAATTCTCCTGCCTCAGGCTCACAAGGAGCTGAGATCACACCCGGCTATTTTTTTTTTTTTTGTATTTTTAGTAGAGATGGGGTTTCACCATGTTGTCCAGGCTAGTCTCGAACTCCTGACCTCAAGTGATCCGCCCGCCTTGGCTTCCCAAAGTGCTAAGATTACAAGCATGAGCCACTGTGCCAGACCCAGTTTTTGTATTTTTTGTAGAGACAGGGTTTCATCATGTTGCCCAGGCTGGTTTCGAATTCCCGAGCTCAAGTGATCCACCACCTTGGCCTCCCAAAGTGCTAGGATTACAGGCGTGAGCCACCATGCCTGGCCAAAACAACACATTTCAACACAGCACCCAGGACACAATAGCACAGCCCAGAAAACCAGATCTGGAGTTAGATGGATGCGGTTTGAATCCTCATTGGTCTCTTAGTCTTGGTGTGACTTGGCAAACTGACTTCCTTTCTCTGAGTCTCAGTTTTCTCATCTGTAAAATGGGTCTGGTGGCACTTCTCTCATCATGGAGCTACTGTAAGGAGTCAGTGAGTGTGTTTATAAATAATATGTATTATTCTTGGTGTATATGCATATGTCTTTATAGGGATCTATGTTTCATGTATCTGGATATATCTGTGAGTGTGACTGCTGGGTCCTATGATAAGTGTATATTTATAAGAAACTTCCAAACTTGCTTCCAAAGTGGCTGTGTCATGTTTTCACTCCCTGTAGTCCCAGCTACTCAGGAGGCTAAGGCACTAGAATCGCTTGAACCCAGGAGGCAGAGGTTGTAGTGAGCTGAGATCATGCCACTGTACTCCAGCCTGGGCAACAGAGTGAGACTCGGTCTCAAAAAGAAAAAAAAAGAAACTGGCCTTAGGTACCTACCTCCTGGCCAGGTCGCAAGGGCATATTGAGCTGGGCCAGGGCTCTGGTGCCAGGGGCTAGGCTGGGTGGACAGCCCCTGAGGTCAAGGGTCTGGGAGGCCAGGTAGAGGTGTGGGTACCCCTACAGGTTCATGGGTGTGCACCAGGATTGCTGTTCCCAGAGGGGCAGAGGAGGAAGTGTTTGGAGGTCCTGGGGAATTTGACACCCTAGGTCCCAGGCATATGGTGGGATGGAGGTGGCGCCCATGCTGTTGTTTCAGTTCTGGAAAGGCCGGTTGGGGCAGGCCTGGAAGAGGGCTGAAGGCTTGATGATGGCATTATATAGCTCCAGTTTCCCTTGGCATCTACCCCCTACTTCTAAAGGGAGGGTGCAGTGTTGGATACACACCAACCCTGTAAGCAACTTTTCCCTTACCCTAGAACTTGGTTAAGAGGGGCATAATGAGGCCGGGTGCGGTGGCTCATGCTTGTAATCCCAGCACTTTGGGAGGCCGAGGTGGGTGGGTATTCTATTTGCCCTACCATCTCCACTCTCCACCATGGCCTGTCTTTTTTTTTTTTTGAGACGGAGTCTCGCTCTGTCGCCCAGGCTGCAGTGCAGTGGCCGGATCTTGGCTCACTGCAAGCTCCGCCTCCCGGGTTTTACGCCATTCTTCTGCCTCAGCCTCCCGAGTAGCTGGGACTACAGGCGCCCGCCACTTTGCCTGGCTAGTTTTTTGTATTTTTTAGTAAAGACGGGGTTTCACCGTGTTAGCCAGGATGGTCTCAATCTCCTGACCTCGTGATCTGCCCGTCTCGGCCTCCCAAAGTGCTGGGATTACAGGCGTGAGCCACCGTGCCCGGCCGACCTGTCTTTTAGAAGGGTGGCCTCTATAAACTGTTCCACCCATGCTCCCTTCACCTCTACATTAAAAAAAATTTTGGGTTTGGCCAAGGGAAGGTTGAGAGAAGAGCAATGTCAGATTATTTTGCTTGGCTGTGTGACAGCAGTGGTTGTATTCCTCTGCCAGAACCATGCCCTCCTGCTGGGGGTTCTCTTTTACCCCTATACAATCAGTCTCGGTTTCAGATACTGCTCCCTCTCACTGCACTTTTCAACCTAGGGACGATGATGGCTTCTCCTTATTGTAAGCCATAAAGTGCTTCAACATCTTATAGGTTTCCTTCACACTGCCCTCCACTTTGTAAAAAGTCCCTCCATTGGCCAGGCGCGGTGGCTCACACCTGTAATCCCAGCACTTTGTGAGGCCGAGGCGGGCAGATCACGAGGTCAGGAGATTGAGACCTTCCTGGCTAACACGGTGAAACCCCGTCTCTACCAAAAATACAAAAAATTAGCCGGGTGTGGTGGCGAGTGCCTGTAGTTCCAGCTACTTGGGAGGCTGAGGCAAGAGAATGGCAAGAACCCGGGAGGTGGGTTTTAAAAAAAAAAAAAAAAGGTCCCTCCATTAAGCACTCATATTTTTCTGCTGGGATTCTGATGGTCAAAGTCTATCAAATGAATGCATCATAATTTGTTTAACCAATATCTTGGTGCACATTTTGATTTCCCATTTTTCAGTATGTAAACAGTTCTTTGATGAATCTGGGTGATTTTGCACACTTTCATGTACATCGTAGGAGACATTACTACAAGTGGAGTTAACTGAATCCAAGAGTATGCTCTTTTGTAATTTAGACAAAAGCGTTCACATTACTGTCCTCTGAAGCCGTACCAATTTACAGTTCCACGAACCGTAACTGAGAGTAAGGATTGCTCTGGGAGGCTGAGGCGGGAGTGGATACCAGCCTGGGCCATATAGTGAGACATCATCTCTACAAAAAAAATTAAAAAATTTTTCTACTACTAGGGTGTGGCAGAACGTGCTTGTGGTCCCAGCTGCTTGGGAGGCTGAGGTGGGAGGATTGCCTGAGCCAGGGGGTCAAGGCTACAGTGAATTTCGATTGCGCCACTGCATTCCAGCCTGGGTGACAGAGGAAGACACTGTCTCAAAAAGACCAAAAAACCCACCCCAAACAACAAACAAAACAAGAGGCCATGATTTCACACCCAGTCATCTTAATAGCTCGTTTTGATTTAGAGACTGTGGTTTGAACATCTGCTAAATTCCTGATGTTGAAGAATCGAAGAATCGCTGAGTCAAAGGTTTCAGCCTCTTTCCAAGGGAGAGAGCACGTGGATGATTACCATCTCATGCAGGCATTTGGTTTTATGGTTTTATGGACTCACGTGCTTGTTACAAAACCAGACACAGCTTTAGGGCTTCTTATTACCTTCCCCCAACCCGTCCTTGGTAGAAGAGTCAACAAATGACATCTAAGCTGCCAACACATATTGGAAAATGTTTGAAACTTGAGCTCTGTGGTTTATTATGAAACATGAAGTGCCCTGGAGTTTGAATTTCTTCCCGGTTGGTCTTAGTACCCTGTCTGCAGATTCAGGGGAAAGGGCAGGAAGGGGAATAAGTGTAGCTAAGAGCATAGCCTTGGCCGGGCGCGGTGGCTCACGCCTGTAATCCCAGCACATTGGGAGGCCGAGGTGGGTGGATCTCTTGAGGTCACAAGTTCAAGACCAGCCTGGTCAACATGGTGAAACCCCCATCTCTACTAAAAATGCAAAAGTTAGCCAGGTGTGGTGGTAGGTGCCTATAATCCTACCTACTCGGGAGGCTGAGGCAGGAGAGTCACTTGAACCCGGGAGGCAGAGGTTGCAGTGAGCCAAGATTGTGCCACTGCACTCTCAGCCTGGGTGACAGAGTGAGACTGTCTCAAAAAAAAAAAAAAAAGCAGAGCCTCTAGAGTCAAACAGATCTGACTACTACATCTGTGCTAGGTACTTTCGGTGGCTGAACCTTAATGGTTCTGACTCTCGGTTTGCTCACATGTAAAATGTGGACGATCATAGAACCTTTATCACGGATTTCTAAAGACTGCATAGCATACTCCAAGAAAAGTTCTGGTTTGCACAGCATCAGGCACAGGGAAGCTCAACACCTTGAAGCTGCTGTTTTTATTTCTAGGTCCCTAAGATCTTCCTTGTCCTCCTATGTCTCCCCTCTTGATCCTCCATATTTATTCCTTTCTTGAAAGTCAAGGGTCCAGGAAGAAGATGATATCCTGGAGTCCAAGCCCACACAATTGGGATATGTGGTGGACATTCACCCGTTCTTAGATCCACTGCTGCTCTTCCTCTGCTTGTCTATCACAAGGGGCTGACACCTTCACACTAATTCTGTCTTGAGTGAGACTGCGTAGGGGAACATGGCCATTTGGGTCCATTAGGAAAGGGTTTTGAGGTCAGGACGTGGGTATTTGGTGTACATGGGAGTTTGGTGGCCTCTGTTGAGGAGGCTTTGGAAATGCGTATTGTTGCGAGGTCCTGAGGGAGGAAGTTTGGGATGAACATGGAGATTCTAGGCTGTGGAGGAAGATGCAACATGGCGATTGGAGGATTCTGGGACCTTACCTTGATACCTTGGTAATGAGGAAATCTTTAGCTTCATTTTTATTTATGTATTTACTTTTTTTTTGAGATGGAGTCTCACTGTCACCCAGGCTCGAGTGCAGTGGCGTGATCTCGGCTCACTGCAACCTCTTCCTCCTGGGTTTAAGCAATTCTCCTGTCCTAGCCTCCCGAGTAGTTGGGACTACAGGCGTGCAAGCCACTACACCCGGCTAATTTTTGTGTTTTTAGTAGAAATGGGATTTCACCCTATTGGTCAGGCTGGTCTTGAATTCGTGACGTCAGGTGATCCACCCACTTCATCCTCCCAAAGTGCTGGGATTACAGGTGTGAGCCACTGTGCTTGGCCAATCTTCAGCTTTAGTGTTCTTGCAGACCCTGCACTGCAATTCATTGTCCTAAAATCCCTGAACTTCTTTGATAACAGACTTCATGGAAATCTTGGTTGATCCTCAAGTTTGTGTTCTGGGCCCTATAAATTCAGCGATCTCCTTATAGACTTTA